CAAATATATGTGTATGAGTAACGGTTGTGCATTAAATATTTATGGGTCTATAAATTTTTTCATAATTTATCATTTGTTGATACAAATCTTCATTTAATTATAAAAAAGAAACGGTTTTCTATGAGTAAATGGAAGATTTCAATTTTTTTCTAATACATTCAATTTCAAATATGATGTAGGAGTAAAAAATTAAAACGTGTAGAATTTATTGTCCCACTAATCACTATATTTATTATTTAGATCTTGATTAACGTTTGTTATATAAAGGAAACATCATATGGGTTTAGTGGGGTACAAGCGGTACGTGTTACGAAGACGTCGAAAACACCATCGGCAGTGGCAGAAGCAAATCCGTGAGTCATATCAGCAATGTAGGAAGCACGCTATCGGTGGAGCGGAGCATCGTGTTTCAAGGTTGTATTTGCATGTCGATTCCTTTCCTATATATAATGAGTCGTGTTTCAAGTTTTTATTCGAATTTCTAAGTAGTTGATTCAAATTTAATGATTCAAGTTTCTTACTTTTATTATTTAACGCATAAAATAATTATTTCATTACATGTTATGCTATACACCTTGCATATTATAAAATTATTTTTGTATTTGTGTTCATCAAACAGATTGAAAACAATGGTCCAAATGGAGAGTCTGGTAAGTTATAGTCCTTTCCCCTTGAATTTAGAATCAAGTTGCCATTTGCTACCCCGTTATCTCAGTTTGATGGTGCAAACCCGACATAAGCTTTTCCCGCTTACGCATTCCTTTTACAAAAAGGGATATGTGGAAGTAGATGTTATTCTATTAAAATCTTTATTTTGTAAACTTTTGTGTAGATGGACAAATATAATAATATGACGAAGTTGATCATAAGGAAGAAATTATTTTCATGCGTCGCGACTTTTATATGTATATTAAAGTCATACCCATACTATGGATGTGGGAGAAAGAGGAGTTTCAAGAATCTAATCACGAGATCAAAGGAAGATAAATGCATGCCTTATGGTCCCGGAAAATTTGGAATCGTGGTGAGCGAGCGGTCGTGGCTTCCGCTGAAGGCAAAACTGGTGACCAGAAATGGTAAATTGGAGATGTACGAGGAAGATGCACAATGACATACACATGATATAACTTTCAAATATAATTTTGAAATTTTGAATGCCGTGTGTATTTGACTTTTTAAAATTGTATTTGTTTTTATTTTTTTTAAATGAAAATTTTCTGTGAATATGATGAATATGATTTTTTGAAATTTTCGGGGAATTTTTTTTTCAAGTTCCAGGTATTAGTGAAAGGATGAGAGCGAGGGGATCATCTTGATCTAATGGTAAATGAGATTGCAAATGGAGAACAATAGAAGAAATGAGAGGTAAAAAGACAATATGTTCATGCAATGTAATTGAACAGTTTTGGTTTTCAGGTTAACCTTCTCTAAAATTTAGTAGTGTTAGTAAAATCTCATATTTTCTAAATGTTACCGTTATTTTTCCATTAATATACATTTTATTTTACCAAACTTTTTAAGATATAGATTATGTTTAATTTAATCTGTATGATATAAATAATTGTATTTGATAAATTATTCAATCTTTAACACATCTCTCACTTCTATATGTATATATATAATTATATATGCGTAAAGGTTTATTGTATGTTTGTCTCTGTATAGTATGAGATTTGTTAATATGCATGTTACGAGATATATGGATATTTGGATTCAATTTTTCTGGATATTAAACATTATGATTAGTCTTACTTAGATGTTCGATCACAAAATATTTGCATGGGAAAATTCTAAAAAACAAACATGAAGGATTTAATTTTATTTTCAAGTTATAATAATTTTACGAAAAGGAAAAACTCATAAAAAAGAATGATGCATTCAACATATGTATAGAATATAAGTAAATATATATATGTTTGTATATAGATGTATGGATATATATGTATGTAAATATGTATGTGCATGTATATGTATGTGTACATATATTAAAATAAGAAATAAAAATATATGTGAGCATATATCATATATGTATATAGATATATATGTGTATATATATGTGTATATATGTATATGCGTTTATATTTATGCATATTAATATTTTATACTATTTTATGGATATGATTTTTATATACAAAAGAATCTTCAACTATAGACCTTTTTACTTGTTTTGGTTGATTCTTTCAAACATCAAAGAACTTTTTTAACCTCTCTATTAAATTGTTATATATATATATATGTATGCATGTCTATGTATATATATATGTGTATATGTGTATGTATGTTTATGCATGTATATTAATATATATTATTTTATATTTATGCGTGAATAATTTTTTGTTTTATTATAAATTTTTTTTATGAATATATTAGAAAAATATTATATATTTTATGTAAAGTTAAAATAATAATATTCAAACATTATACATATATATATATATAAACGAATAAATGAAAGAATATAAGCATTATTAGTATAATATTAATAATGATATTGTTTTATATATAAATCTATTAAATAATATAGGATTTTTATATATTATATTAACAATGATAATAATTATAAGTTTGCATGAATAATCACCTCATTTATAAAATCCAGAGAATTAAAAAACACAGTTGCAAACTCTAAAAAATCAATCTATAAAATCCCGCGAGTATAATATAACAACTCATTTAAAAAACTATTATTCAATCTCACAAACAAATAAAAAAAGAATAGGAGAGAAGAATGACTTATCTCCTGAGAACATACAAAAAAACAGAAAATAAAAGATAGAATAAAAGAATTTTTTGGTCATAGGATTTTTTGTTTCTAATCCAAAATAGAAGTACAAGAATTACAAGTCCGATCCAGAGATGTCGTTTAAGAAGTAAAAAACAACGGAGATATAAGTTGAACCCAGAGACAAAGTCGAAGAAATCAAAAGCCGATGAAACCCAAAGAGAGAGATAAAAGCCGGAGAAGATATGAAATGGAAGAAGTCGATGGAGAAGAGAAATCGAAGAAGAGAAGTCGAAGAAGAAGATGAAAGCAAAGAGGTCCATGAAGAAGGGTTAGGGTTCTATCAAGGATACGAAAGAAGGATTAGGATTTAATTTATTTGGGAGAGAATTTTATGGGTTTTTTATTTTTAAATAAATCAGTTATTCCTGGACTATTTTACTAAACCGATTTTAATTGTCGATTTAATTTTAATCTATTATTTAATTCAGGAACTAATGTGGCTATTAATTTTGATATAGTATATGACGTACATGTAGGATGATATTTAACAGAAATGACAGTCAACGTTAGTAAAAAAATTTATTGGCACTATTATACAAGTTCAAACATTCTAATGATGGATTTGCAAATTGAGTATTTTTTTTTTCTAGACTCCAAGTATATTAGTTTTCCAACCATTTGCAAGTTAGAAAATTTTTTATTGAGTATATCCTATATATATCTGTAAAATTTTAATCTTTTTTAGTTTTTTGAACATCAATTTTTAATATATATATATATATATATATATATATAATTATTTTAAGGAGAAATCACCAAAACAAATCTACACTCTTCTCAAATCAACCAAAAAAACTCTGTATTTTTTGTTTATTAATTAAATTTTGTACTTGGTGTGATTAACCCATAAAATTTTGAACTTTTTAAAAATTCACTGAAAATTCTATACGTCTGCCAACTCCAACAAAAATTATGATGTAACAATGACATAACTTCTAAATCATGTACACATCATCATAATTATGTTACAATATTATTTTAAACAAAATTTAAATTAAATAACTATTTAAATTAATATATATACATACAAATTCACACGCACACTCCCATATATATATATATATTAAATATAAAATTAACAAAAGACATATATACATATCGATAAATTATATATATATTATTTAATATATATTACATATATTAGTTATAATTACTTTTATTTTAATATGCATATTATTTGTATATATATATTGCATGTATACCTAATATATATACATATACATATTATTTTTAATAGATATTATATGTATATATGTTAGTTATAATTATTTGTATTTT